CTCTCTCTCTCTCTCTCTCTCTCTCTCTCTCACACACACACACACACACACACACACACACACACACACACACACACACAGAGTAAATATAAAATGCAGTAGGTATCAGAGAGATGGCTCATTTGGTAACGTGCTTGCCTGGCAAACCCAAGGACCTGAGGTCAATCCCTAGAACCCACATTAACAGCAACAACAACAACAAAAACCCCAAAAGTTTTGGTGCGATCCTAGCTGTTGGGGAGGCAGAGACATTCCTGGGGCTTGCTGGTCAACCAGCCTACTCTACCAGCCCGAGGCTAAAAAGAGATCCTGTCTCAACAATAAGATGAATGACTCCTGAGGAATACGACATCAGAGGTCGTCCTCTGATCTCCACACGTATACATACACAATACATACCACAAGGAAATGGCCTGTGCTAATATTTAGTTACCTAGAATATTTTTATAAAAGTCTTGAAAATTCACTCCCAAAAATTCTTTAGCTTTGCTAATGAAAACTATGTACCAGTCTTCTGTGTTACCCCACCACCACCTCTCCTCTCATTGCCCTGAAGTTCAGAGCCAAATGTTGTTTTATGATGACATGTTATGAATAGTTTTCAGAGAGCAGAACAAGCAATTAGGGGAAGATTTTTATTCAGTGGCAAGAAATGCTTTACAAGGTAAATGAAAAAGGAACAAACTATATAATCAAGTGATCAGGAATTTAGGAGTCAGTCAAAACTGGTTTCTAATTGTGTGAATTTTAACAAATCATTTAATATTTAGCTGACACCCTGTTTATAAAGTAGAGCAATTGCACACATACACAAATATGTACTTGACTCTTACTTAGTTTCTGGTGTATCTAAAGGTACTAATACAGTATCTCACATATAGTCCCTGCAAAAAACAAAACAAAACAAAAAAACCCTTTTCATTCAAATATAAATGATTAGTTTCTTCCTACAGATACTCTATAGATGCACTACACATTTTGCTTAATATCCTTGGATTCTCTAGAAAGCAGCATTATGACTATAAAATGACCCAAGAAGGACATGCTTCACTAGATGTGGTTCTGACTATATGGATGAAATATTTGTTGTTTTTCCCTACAAAGTATAGCCTCTTAGTGCTCTGAAGGTGAAATCAGAATAACTGTAAAGAGCTGGGCTTGGTGGCACTTGTTTATGATCCCAGCACTTGAGAGGTAGAGCAGGAGAATTTTGAGTTCAAGGCTAGCCTTGGCTACATAACAAGACCCTGTTTCACAACAACAGAAAACAAAGTGCTGAAAACTGTATGGAGCTCATAGTAAGGCTTAGCTTCCTCCTCTGGCCTTCCTCTTGCCAGTCGAAATGTTTTCCTTGGTCTTGGTTTCTTCAGCCTGTTACTATTTTGTCCTCTTTATGCCATCGTAGCAGCTTTAGTTTCTTGGGGACAATTGTCTATGCACCATGTTGTTACGCTGCTTGACTTTGGGGGTGGGGTTACCCTGTTGCTTTCCTCTACCTACTAACTAACCTTGACTGACTTCTAGTTGCAGGTGACTGAAGTTTCAAGCTGCAGAATGCATAGCACCCTACAAGGTAAATAAAAAAAGCTACTCAATTGTGCTGGTTATTAAACAGAATTTTGCAACATTTAGCTATCTGTGTAATAAGTAAGTTGTGAGAGATAGTAATTAGTTTTTTGTTGTTGATCTTGTGCGTTGGTTTGTTTTTTCCCAGAAGAAAATGCAGAAATGGGATTTATGAAAGCATGTCCTAGTTTGGTTTCCTCTTGCATGGTAAAGACTATGACCAAAAGCAATTTGGGAAGGAAGGGGCTTGGCTTCCATGTCCCAATCACAAGCCGTTATTGAAGGACATTGCCACCAGTCCCAAATAACCGACACAGAGGTTTAATATTACTTATAAATGCTCTGCCAATAGCTCAGGCTTGTTACTAGCTAACTCTTACATTTAAATTAACCCATGTTTCTTACCTGTGCTTTGCTGTGTGGCTCATGGCTTGTTACTGCCGCATTTTCTACACGTGCCCTGCTTCCTCAGCCTCCTCTGCGCTGCTTCCCGCCTAACTTTATCCTGTTCAGCTATTGGGCAATCAGCTTGTTTATTAAACCAATCACAGCAACAGATCTTCACAGTGTATAAAAGGATTATTCCACAGCAGGCCATACTAACAGAATAGAATAGTGCATAGTATCCCTACCTTTAAATTTTTTTTTTTTTTTTTTTTTTTTTTTTTGTTTTTTCGAGACAGGGTTTCTCTGTGTAGCTTTGCGCCTTTCCTGGGACTCACTTGGTAACCCAGGCTGGCCTCGAACTCACAGAGATCCGCCTGCCTCTGCCTCCCGAGTGCTGGGATTAAAGGCGTGTGCCACCACCGCCCGGCAAAAATATTAAGTAAATATATGTATTCATTTCATGAATGTTTATTTGGTATGAATTCTTCATGACATTGACTTACTACTTTGTTTAGGTTGGCCATGATGAACACACTGCAATTAAAGGAAGCTAAGGTCCTGGATGTTCAGTTTGTGGGAGATGATGATGTTCTCAATCACATTTTTGATAGAGAAGGAGGTATGTGTGATTGTACAGTTGAAGAGATGCTTATGGATCACATCTTTGTTGTTACTTTTCAAAACAAGGTTTCTCTGTGTAGCTCTGGCTGTCTTGGGACTTGTTCTTTATACCAGGCTGGCGTTGAACTCACAGATACACACCTGCTTCTGCCTCCTGAGTGCTGGGATTAAAGGCCTGCACCACCGCTGCCTGGCAGATCCCATCATTCTACCACTGAGCTAAATCCCCAACTCCCCTCATTCTTAATAACATAATACAGAATATTTACTCTAGCAAGACTAAGTAAATCTGCTCTGATTTTTTTTTAGTTTACTTCTTTTGAAGTCTAATTGAAACTATAAAGCCTTATCCAAAATGAAATGCTTAGTGGTGGTGGAAAATAATAACTACCCATTCACCCCAAATAAACCTCTCTTTTTTTTTTTTTTTTTTTTTTTGAGACAGGGTTTCTCTATAACAGCCCTGGCTGTGCTGGAACTCTCTCTGTAGACCAAGCTGGCCTCGAACTCACAGAGATCCACCTACCTCTACCTCACGAGTGCTGGGATTAAAGGTGTGTGCCACCCAGCAAATAAAGAAAGTGTTGAAAGTGTTTAACTTAGTCATATGTATTTTTTCCTTTTTTTATAACATTTTATTTTGGTTTTTTAAAATAATTTTTTATTTTATGTGTTGGTGTTTCACCTGCATGGACGTCTGTGTAAGGGTGTCCGATCTTGGAGTTATAGGCAGTTGTGAGCTGCCATTGTGGGTGCTGGAAATTGAACCGAGTCCTCTGGAAGAGCAATCAGAGCTCTTAACCGCTGAGCTGTCTCTCCAGCCCTATATTTTTTTTCTTAATGTTTTTGGCCTGCCTGGATACCACATGTGTGCCTGGTGCCCCTGGAGGCCAGAACAGCGCATTGGACACCCCAAGCCTCAAATTGCAGCCAGTTGTGAGCTGCCATGTGGGTGCTGGGAACTGAACCCAGATCTTCACTAGAGCAGCGAGTGCTCTTAGAGCACACCTTAGAGGTGCTGAGCCATCTCTCCAGCCCTGACTTAGCACTTTTAATGAAAGGTAAGGCATTGTCTTCCCCTCAGCTTTATGTACTGATTGTGCATTTCGCGTAGTTTGTCTGCTGACGTGTAACATGCGCATGGTGGTGAGAGGACAACTCTCTGGAAGTGGTTCTCTTCCCCTGTGCGCTCCGTCAGGCTGATGTGGTGCACAGTTTATCTGCTGAACCATCTGGATGGCTCTAATGTAATATTTAGAAAGAATTCATGCCAGCTGGTGGTGGTGCACGCCTTTAATCCCAGCATCCTGTGGGAGGCAGAGGCAGGCAGATCTCTGAGTTCAAGGCCAGCCTGGTCTACAGAAAGAGTTCCAGGACAGCCAGATCTGTGAAACTGTGAAACCCTGTCTCAAAAAAAAAAAAAAAGAATTAATATCTTATATTTTGTACATTTTTTTTATAGGAACTAAAATAAAGAAGGAGAAAGCTCAGCTTTTAGTCAATCCACAGAAAATAATCAAGAAGCCAGAACGTGAATTGGAGAAGAGTGACCAGGAAGTCTTAAAGGATCAGAACTATGTGGAAGTTTTGGGAAGAAATATTCAAGGTATTCAGTGGGGGTAACATACACCCAGCTCTCGGCTGGTAGCATGAACTGCTTTTCAGGACGCACAAAAATAACCTGGTTGGTTGGAAAGTGGTAACTATAATTGTATGTCAAGTCTAAAAGAATTCTCTTCAAGCTGTTTGTTTTTGCTATATTTTTTTTTTAATTATGCCGAATGTCATTTATTGAAAGAGGGAGGAGGTCTTAAACACAGGCTTACAGCACAATGGGAGAAGCCTGGAGGGCAGAAGTTCGCTACCGATGTTTTACAATCTTGCATCTAAGCTGTTAATGCCCATTATGCAGGATACACAGACAAGGAACTTCCATTAAGCATTCAGGAGGGTGGAACCCCGGAGGGAATTAGCATAGGGAGGATATCAAGGTCAGGGTCAGCAAGCAAGGCAACAGTTACCCAAAACAGGGGCCAGGGCCCTACAGGTCCTCCTTTTACTAATAAATGAGCTGACTTACTTAGGTTTTGTGGGACATCAGCAAGTCACCTTACCCATCATGGAGACGCCTGCCCAGGCCACACAGGCAGGCTCTGTCTTAGGTTGGTGAGCTCCCCCCAGGCATTACCTGTCTCTGAATACTCATTATCATACAGACTCAATCGTGTGTGAGCTGCAGAGTTAACTGCTGCCAAAGATCTCAAAGTGGCGCTGGGCTTGCAGTCTGTGTGTTCGACACAGAAAAGACCAACAGAAGTCCTAACCCACCCATAGCCAGTGGACTAAAGGCAACTGAGCCATTCATTCCCTTCCTTAATGAGCCTTACTGCAAATGGAAGTCCTTGTAAGATGGTATCCCAAAAGCAGATGGACTTGAGTTTATAAATTTATAATTTTCAAAGCCAATCGAAATGTATATAACTATTGAATTAAATTTATCATGCCAAATAAAATGAAAGATTAATTAACTGTGGTAGATACTTTTGCTGCCAGGGTCTCCACTGTGCTAGCTGTAGTAAGCAATTATGAAATGGTAATCCCAGAAATAGTAGCAGCAGTGGCCGCCTCTGCTATAACAGCAACAACGGCAGCAGCAATGTCAAATTCTCTTCTGGAGTGTGTGGGCATCCACTGACATGGATACAACTCCAGGAACACAAACTGCCAAGGTCCATTTTCCTTGATCCCAGCACGACTTAATCAGGCAGCTCTGCAAAAGAACAACTAAGAACCATAAAGAAAAAACAGGCAGCTCACAAGGAGCAGAACTAATGGTCTTATAATGGCTACATTTAGGCTCATAAATTTTAAGGTATCTTCAAAGGGGGCTAAATGAATTTCAGAAGGCCAATAAATGTTGCACAGAGCCACTCCTGAAAAGTAGGTACTACAGCAGCTTGACGAGGATTGTGAAAATGAAAAGGTTAAGCTAGCATGCAACTGTTAACAAATGGAGGTCAGTGACCTTCAGGGTTATCCTTAATCTCCAAGGTGTCTGGGTGACATGTTCTCAAACATACTTGAAAAAGCAGTTACCATACATTACCTTCTGGAGAATCCAACCACATGGCTACAGTTCCTAGGTTTATGTTAATGCTTGCCAAAGCTGGCTATATTGGGCTCTCAATCCCCATTGGCATCAGAAGGGGAGAGTTTTTTACGAAGGCCCAATAGATCTTTGCTATGTTGGGCTTCAGCAGCAGCCACAGGGCAAGCACAGAGCTCAGGAATCCAAAGAGGAACTTCATTGTCCTGAGGAAAGACATAAACAGAATCCTGGGCCCACACCAACACCAGATCCGGTCTCCTCCAAGTGCTAGTAGAAAGATCCTTCCATCGCTCCAGAGGGTGATTTGCAATAGGAATCCTCCAGTGCTTATCTGCATTTGCTGCATTTTTTTGTTTTTGTTTTTGTTTTTATTTTTTTCGAGACAGGGTTTCTCTGTGTAGCTTTGCGCCTTTCCTGGAACTCACTTGGTAGCCCAGGCTGGCCTCGAACTCACAGAGATCCTCCTGGCTCTGCCTCCTGAGTGCTGGGATTAAAGGCGTGCGCCACCACCGCCCGGCCATTTGCTGCATTTTTAAGGTTTAATTTTTTAATTAATGTGCACATGAGTGCAAGTGCCCTCGGAGGCCAGAAGAGGGCATCAGCTGGGGTTATAGGTGGGTGTGAGCCTCCCAAAGAAGAGAACTAACCAGTTCTTAGTCTGTGACCCTCTACAACTCAGCCTCCTGAATAGTGGGATTATAGGCATGTATCATCATGCCACATACAGGCACATCATTGTTTTTAGAGGAGAAGAGATTTTAGTTCCCTGATTCACAGGATTCAGTCCATGGTTGGTCTGTGCGGTAATCTTGGGCAGAGCATCATGTGGGTTGGTAGCATGTGCTGAGGAGAGCCATTTGCTTCATGAAGACAGGAAGCAGAGGATTGTTACATTACAAATTAGGTCACTTGGTATTGTTACTTTGATCCTCTCATTTAAAATAGAAGGAAAATTCAATTCAAGGAAGTAGTGTTCTCACCTAGACATACTCACAATGTTGTTCTTGTTTTGGTTTTGTTTTGTTTTGAGATGAGGGTCTCTCTATATAGCCCTGGCTGTCCTGGAACTCACTATGTAGACCAGGCTGGCCTCAAACTCACTGAGTTCCTCCTGCCTCTGCCTCCTGGGTGCTGGGATTAAAGGCGTGTGCTACTAGGTCCAGCTCCTGTAAGCAATTTTTGAGTGGCTGAGGTGGGAAGATCCCAAGTTCAAAACTAGCCTAGATAAGATAGCAAGTGTGTCTCCAATAATAGTCAAAAAGTCCTGGGGACATGGGTCTCCTGGTTTCCCTTATGTGTAGTAGAATATTATTTTAAGGTGTGTTACTTTGGTTCATGTTGCATTTGTTTAACTCTATGAAGCTGTGTTACTGTGCCTGTCTAAAACACCTGATGGTCTATTAAAGAGCTGAATGGCCAAAAGCAAAGCAGGAGAAAGGATAGGTGGGACTAGCAGGCAGAGAGAATGTATAGAGGGAGAAATCTGGGAGGAGAGATCTAAGAGCTAGCAGTCAGAGAAGGACTCCAGGGATCAGCTACACAGTAAGCATGGACTAAGAGTAAAACTTATGCCGGGCAGTGGCTGCAGTGGTGGCGCACGTCCTTAAGTCCCAGCACTTGGGAGGCAGAGACAGGCAGATCTCTGTGAGTTCAAGGCCAGCCTGGTCTACAGAGCGAGTTCCAGAATAGGCTCCAAAGCTACACAGAGAAACCACGTCTCGAAAAAACAAACAACAACAACAAAAGAGTAAGATTTACAGAAGTAAGAGAATGGGAAAAGCCCAGAGGCAAAAGATAGATGGGTTAATTTAAGGACGGCTGGCTAGAAACTAAGCAAAGCTAAGGCCGGACAATAATAAGTAAGAATAAGCCTCTGGTAGTGGTTTATTTGGGAACTGGGTGGTGGGCCCCCCAACAACACTTACGTCATCTCTGTGGGTCTTTTCTTCCTTATTTATTGTGCTTATCACTCTCACACTTAGTATTGGCCAGGTGACCACTCCAGGTCTCTGTTGCTTCGGAAATGATAATGCTTCTTATCGTCTTGTACCCAGTGTGAAGTGACCCCATGGTTTAGTTTCCCTGGTCTGAATTCTCTGTAGCCCAGGCGGGCCTTGAACTTGGAATCCTCCTGTCTTGGTCTTCTGAGTAGCTGGGATTATAGGCCTGGAATACCAGCTCTATTCTGGATTTTCAAGAATGAATCCAAATTTAGTTCAGCTCGGTGAGCCGCACTGCCCCTCAGTAGGTGTAGTGAGTATTTAGAGACTCCTGACTAGGCAGTTGACACTTTTAGGGTGCATTCTGTGTAGAATTTTGACGGCTTCTGTTAGCCTAAGTGCCTGAAAATAGTATTCAGGGGTAGAGAACAAGAACAAGGCATAATGAGATATTAGATATCATATTTATATACGAACTGAAAAAAGACAAGAGGACAGACTTACTTTCTTGGTTTAATTAAGTTTTTCCATGTAAGAGTACTTCCAGCAGATAATGATATTTGTAATGTGATTCTTTGAAGGGCCACAGGCTTTCGTAATACCGAGTCCTTCCCCACACCTTCCCTTGGTAATGTCTATTTAGACTGGTGGCCCAGGGATTTTAATCCCAGCCACTGAGGAGCCTGACCCAGGAGGCCTGCTGCCCTGCAGGAGTTCAGGGCCGACCTGGCTTGGGTCGTGAGACCTATCTGAAAAAAGTTCAAAAGAGTCTGGCTCAGTAACAGAGCGCTGGTGTAGCATGCTTGAGGCCTCAGAGAACATGGAACCATTTCCTGTGTGTGCGCCTTCTGTTTGTCATGTGCACACAGAAGTTTACATGATAAAGATGGAGTACTTTTTTAATTGGGTGCTTATATGTGTACATGCACCTATGTGAGTCTAGGTGCCCATAGAAGCCAGAACCGTTGGGTCCCTCTGGAAGCTGGCCTTACAGGATGTTGTGAACAGCCCCACTTGGGTCCTCTGCAAAAGCAGTACACAGTCTTAACCATTGGGCCATCTCTCCAGCCTCTTAATTTTTTAGTTATATTTATTTGTGTGTTTGTGCTGTTGTGTATGTGAAGATCAGAGGGCAGTGTTGGATATCTCCCACAACCATTCCCCACCTTATTCATTCATTTGTTCGTTCGTTCATTCATTCATTCATTTTTCAGCCAGGGTATTTCATAGCCCATGCTAGTTTTGAATTCATTACATAGCTGAAGATGACCTTGAACAACTTCTTTTTTTTTAATCATTTAACATTATTTTATGTGCACTGGTGTGAAGGTGTCAGATCCCCTGGAACTGGAGTTGCAGAGACAGTTGTGAGCTGCCATGTGGGTTCTGGGACTTGAACCCAGGTCCTCTGGAAGAGCAGCCATGCTTTTAACCACTGAGCTATCTCTCCAGCCCCAGCCTTGAACTTCTGATCCTCCTTTTGTCACCTGTGTTTCTACCGTGCCTGGCTGTGCGCATTCTTCCTGACAAAACCCAGGGCTTTGTACGTTCCTGGCAAACAGTTTATTAACTGAGCCGCATTCCAACTGTTCTCACTTTCTTTTTTCTTTTTAAATTTATTTATTACGTATACAGTGTTCTGCCTGCATGTACACCTGCAGGCCAGAAGAGGGCACCAGATCCCATTATAGATAGTTGTGAGCTACCATGTGGGTGCTGGGAATTGAACTCAGGACCTCTGGAAGAGCAGCTGGTGCTCTTAACCACTGAGCCATCTCTCCAGCCCTTTCTTTTTTAAGGCAGGGTCTCTTACTAAACCCGGAGCTTACTGGTTATGGCCATATGGCTAGAATGACTGGCCAGCAGGCCCCAGGGATCCCCCATACCCACCTCCCCAGCACTGATCACAGGTGTGCGCTGCAATGCCTGACTTCTTATACGCACGCTGGGAATCTGAATTCAGGTCCCCATGTTGCATAGCGGAGAGCCTACTGACTGTACATCTCCCCAGCCCTACTGAACATTCTTTTCTGACTGCAGAGACCATGTCGTCATGCATGTATAATAATTAACCTGTTCGCTGTTGTTGGACAAGTGGATATTCCAGGCTTTTGATATATTTTCATGTCAAATCTCTAGATACATTTATTATTTCTTTTGGAAACTTGGTTAAAGAAACTAACATACCCAGGTGGAATCAGCATTTTTTTAATATTTTGACACAAGAACATAAGGTCTTGTATATATATTCTGGGGAGGTGGTTTTTCGAGACAGGGTTTCTCTGTGTAGCTTTGCGCCTTTCCTGGATCTCACTCTGTAGACCAGGCTGGCCTCAAACTCACAGAGATCCACCTTCCTCTGCCTCCTGAGTGCTGGGATTAAAGGCGCGCACCACCACCGCTCAGCCATGGGAGGTGCTTTTTCATTGATCTAAACCCCAGTCACCTATTTTATTTTCTCCCCTGTACCCCTTGCCAGAAAGGGTCTCACTATATAGCCCCCACTTACCTAGAACAACTAAAAAAGATCCCCCTGCCTCTGGCTCTCAAGTTCTGGGATTAAAGGCGTGTGCCACCACTGCCTGGCCAAAAAAAAAAAAAAAAAAGAAACACCAAACAAAATTTTTTTTAAGGTTACATTTCATGTATTTATTTTGCATGTGTTCAGATGTGGAGGTCAGAGAGCACCTTGGGGAACTGAATCTCCTTCCCCTGTGTGGGTCCCAGTGATCAATGTCAGGCTGCCACATTTCACGGCAAGTGCCGTGGCCCTCTGAACCATCTCACTGGCCTTCCTTTTAGAACACAGAGGGCGTTTAACCAAGGATCTTTTTTTCTCCATTGGTGTTTTGAGACTTGGTGTTGTGTAGCCGAGGCTGGTTTTGAACTGCTGACCATCCTGTCTCCTCCCCGGTGCTGGAACTGCTGTCATATACCACCACATCCGGCTCTAACACAGAATCTTTAGGAAGAGCAGAAAAGAAAAAAGCCTGTTGAATAACGTTTTCTGCTGTAGGTTCCCAGGGGCTCGTGCATTAGAATGTGGTACCAAGTGTCTAATAGAAGTGCTACCTCAGGAGACACAGCGGAGACTGAACAGGGCAGCGCTTACCATTAGAATGAATTAAGATAAGTCTCAAAAGAACTGGTTATAAAAAAGGGAACATGCCCATGGATTGCCCCGTGACTTTCCATGTGACACTGTCTAGGGAGCTCTGACGGAGGAGCTCATGCTAGCTCCGTGTCCAGGAAAATGGACACCTTTTATTCATAAGTTCCTTCCCTGGGGTTTTGTTTTCTTTTTTGAGGTTGTATTTGTGTGTGTGTGTGTGTGTGTGTGCGCGCGCGCCTGTCTGTCTGTGTGTCTGTGTGCCTGCAGAGGGCATTGGATCTGCTGTGGATACCTGATGCAACTCAGTTTTTACCTACTTGGTTTAATTTTCATAGTCTATTAATCTCTCCAGTCTGGAAAAAAAATCATTGTATCTATAAATAGTATGTTTCTTTTTTTTTTTTTTTTTTTTTTTGGTTTTTCGAGACAGGGTTTCTCTGTGTAGCTTTGCGCCTTTCCTGGAGCTCACTTGGTAGCCCAGGCTGGCCTCGAACTCACAGAGATCCGCCTGGCTCTGCCTCCCGAGTGCTGGGATTAAAGGCGTGCGCCACCACCGCCCGGCTAAATAGTATGTTTCTTGTGTTAATGTTTAAATAAGCAAGATTAGTTGGTTTTTCTTATTGTGTATATGAAAATATTTTGTATGTAAATATGTTGGTAACTTTTATGAAAGGTATGGGGAGTATAACTTTTTTTTCGAGACAGGGTTTCTCTGTGTAGCTTTGCACCTTTCCTGGAACTTTTAGATTTTTAGCTATTTAAAATTTTATATTTTTTCTTAACTTTCTTGCTTTTTCCTCAGTGTGTGTTACATTTTCTTTTTCAGAATCCTTGAAAAATGGCTCTTCTGTAGATGGTGGAAATAAAGTTTATTCTTTTCAACATAGAAAACACTCTGAAGAGATGACTAAATTAGGTATGTTACTTTTCTGTTTCCTATAAGTCATTGTAGACTAACACCACATTCTCATGATTATCACCCTGTATTATTTTCCCTAAAAGAACAAGGAAATAAATGGTCTTTATAATTTAGAGAATGAGACATTTCTTTAAAGAATAATGTGATTAGCTGGTATGATGTCATGCACCTTTAATTCCAGCACTTTGGGCATAGAGATAGGAGTATCACCAATTTGAAGACATCCTGAACTGCTCTTACTTAAAAAGAAAGTCATTTATATAATAATGATAAAAGTTATTATGACCAAGTGCTGTATGCCAGGATCAAGTGCAGTGCTCAGAATATACATCTGTCTGCCTGTCTGTCTAGAGGAGCCTGTAATTAATGTGTACTAAACTCACAGGTATGTGACAGAGCCAGGTTTTGATTTCAAAGCTTGTACCCTTCTGTTTCTACCCAGTCCCCATAGAGTTGTGTATAACTACAGTGGTTGCTCAAAGTAGAAAGGCATTTTTTAGGGTTGAATCATGGAAGGTTGCAATGCCAATTTTTGAAGAATTAATAGAAATTTGTGAAGAATTCAGGAGGAAAGGGACACTGAATTTAAAAAATGATCAGGGGCCTGGAGAGATGGCTCCGCCATTAAGAGTGTTAGCAGCTCTTCCAGAAGTCCTGAGTTCAATCTCAGCACCCATATGGTGGCTCACAGCCAGCTATAATGGGACCTGATGCCCTCTTCTGGCAACCAGGTATTTATGCAAATAGAACACCGTATACATAAAGGAAATAAATTAAAAAAAAAAAAAAAAAGACCCATTCACATTTCTGCAAATCACCGGGTATGAATGGAGCATGAACTGGAGAATAGAATCTATGAAGCTGTTTTAGAGGAGAGAGGGAAGCCCTGCATCTCGAGCAGGGTGTGTGTATTTCATTTTGGGATAGGTTGTGAAGTCACTGGATGGTTTTTCTTTTTTAATAGCTTCATTTATTTGTGTGTTGATGGCTGTGCATGTATGGGCACATGAGGACCACAGCATGTGTGCGTGAGTTCGAGGACAACCTGTGGGGGTTGACACTTTCTGGCGTCATAGGTCCTGTAAATCAGCTCAGGTCATCAGGCTTGGTGGCAGGTGCCTTTCCACACTGAGCCATCTCGGAGACCCAGTCAGGGGTGCTTTTAAGGAAAGACGTGACCTGAGCAGATTTGTAACTGAGAAAGTGTTTGTTGTAGCGTGAACTGGGTATTCTTGGGGTACAAATAGGTGTGCGAGAGCCAGAGTGAAAGTGAGAGGCTCTGATGCACTAGAGTCAGAAAGAATGGATTCCAGAATGATCCCGTGGTTTCTGGAGCTAACATTTGATAGGCAGAAGTGCCGTGGATTAGAACGGAGCAGGTAACTGTCCCGGCCACTGGGCTTTGTAAAGGTTATTGTACGTGTTGAAATTAAGGCTGCCAGGAGGAATTTGCCCCCCCCCCCCTCTAGTTGAGTATTGGTGACTGTCTTGTTCTTTTTCCTCTTGAATTCTTATTTTACTAACCAAGTACAGTAGTGCACCCTTGTAGTCCTAGCACTAGTTACACTAGTTACTCTGGTAACTAGTACACTAGTTAGAAGCAGGAGGATCAGAAGTCAGGACTATTCTCAGCTACAAAGTAGCTTTGAACCCAGGCTGGGCGATGACTCGAGGACCTGTCTACAAAAACAAACAGAAATTATTTTACTGCCTTGTCAATGTTCCTTTGCCTTTAATAGTTCCTTACTGTTGGGTAGGAAGCAGGAAGTGGTGGCCTGTAATTCCAGCTGTGCAGGAGGCTGAGGCAGGAAGCCTCAGACACTTGATGGCCAACCTAAGCAGAAGGGTGGAAGACTTCCTTAAAAAAAAAAAATCCAGGGGCTGGAGAGATGGCTCAGAGGTTAAGAGCCCTGGCTGCTCTTCCAGAGGTCCTGAGTTCAACCACATGGTGGCTCACAACCATCCGTAATGAGATCCAGTGCCCTCTTCTGACCTTCAGGCATAAATGCAGGCAGAACACTGGTATACACAATAAAATTAATCTTTTAAAAAAAAAAAAAATCCAACCGGGCAGTGGTGGCGCACGCCTTCAATCCCAGGACTCAGGAGGCAGAGCCAGGCGGATCTCCGTGAGTTCAAGGCCAGCCTGGTCTACAGAGCGAGATCCAGGAAAGCCAGGGCTACACAGAGAAACGCTGTCTCAAAAAACAAAACAAAATCCACTTTTTATTTCAATATAAAACCAAATGCCAAATGATCTCCAGGCGGTGGTGACGCATGCCTTTAATCCCAGCACTGGGGAGACAAAGCCAGCTGGATCTCTGTGAGTTCAAGGCCAGCCTGGTCTACAGAGTGAGTTCCAAGATAGCCAGGACGGCTTCACCAAGAAACCCTGTCTCAAAAAACAAACTAAAAAACCAAATGATCTCAGCTAATTGTGTGAACTTGTATGACATTTTTGTTGATAGACAGTTTTCCTACCCTCCCCCCACCCCCAACTGCCTCCCATCCCGTGGATCAGAGCCTTTTAATCCAAAAATGTCAGTTTTTCTAGAGAGGACCCGAGACTGAGCCACAGGCGTGCCTGGAACTCTGCCAGGGATGAGGACAGTGAAGAAGAGATGGGGTGATCGCCAGAGCTGCAGGGGTCGAGAACAGACAGTCAGTGGGGGCCAGTGGAGGACTGATTTCAGGGAAAGCATTCTGTTCTGAAGTTTTTTTATTAGCATACATGATTATATATCATAATGAGTTTCATTATGACATTTTCATACATGTATTTCATATTCCACCCACATTGACCTTTCTTGTCCCCATCCCACTCCTGCTGGTCCCCCCTCTTCCCAATTAGTCCCCCTTCTGTTTTAATCAGTCAATCAATCTCTTCTCTCCCTCCCTCCCCCACTCTCTCTCTCCCACTAATGAGTATAATTAAGGTTATTTACATGGGTGAGGGGTTGTTTGTAGAAGACTGGGCAGCTTCCCAGGGGGAGAGCCCTGAAAGAAAAAGTCTCTTCCTCTCCAGCAGTCACCTGAAGATTCTCAGGACAGACAGGGCGTTCTGAGCTCCCCACTCTAACTACCTTAACTGCTATAAATCCTCAGGAGAGTCAGGACCTTTGGAGTCCCTAACCCTTGGTGACAGACTGTGACGGGTTCCGTCCTGGGCTGGTCAGGTGGAAGGAACCACAGCTGCTAAAGCTCATGCAGCACCTGTGTCGTACGTGGAAGATGGCGTTGCACTGCCCTCCGCCCCTCCGCCCCTCCGCCCTCCTCCCCAGCTCCCCTGCTTCCTGCTTTCTCTCAGAGGTGGTGCCTGGCCCTGGAGCTGGTGATGCTGTTGTGGCCGGGCAGTCAGCAGTCACTTGTGCTTAGCACTCAGGCCACTTGGGATCTCTGCAGTAACTGCTGTCTACTGCAAAAAGAAGCTTCTCTGACCAAACTCAGAGGAAGTCTTAAAAAACAAGACTGTGAAAAGCAAACCAATTATAACAGCAGCAAATGCCCAGTGGTTTACATAGAGCAGGAAATTAAGAAAAGGAAGTGCCTGTCCTTCTTGTGGAGCATCTTAGCTACATTTCAAGATCAGAAAATAAAACATTCGACACTAAGGAAGGGTGTATGGGCCAGTCAAATGGTCTAAACTTAAATACAGACACACTTCTCCACTTAAAGAATAAAAGAAGTAGGCTGGAGGGTGTCTCAGTAGTTAAGGGCAGGCACTGCCTTTGCAGAGGACCCAGGTTTGGTCCTACCTCCCTCATCAGGTGGCTCACAACCACCGCTAACTCCAGCTGTGGGGTATCTGATGCCCCAGCCGCTGAGGGCATCTGCACTTACATACACAACACACACACAATTCAAAGCGGTAAAGATAAGTCTTAGAATAAAAGAAGATAAATGTATGTCTTCGTGCAGGCTCATTTTCCACATGCTTGTCACAGTGCGAGAGTGTGAGCATCGTTGAAATAAAGATTCGATCCATGTTTTATTTAAAATGTCACCTAGAAGCCAACTATTGCATGTGGCCCTTCACCAAAGAAGCAACCGTCTGTTCCGCACCATATTCTATTTTATGAATCATTCATGTTTTAAATACAAGAACACCAGCCACTCTTCATGGAAAATTTAAAATTTTAACTGCATACAGTTTTCACTTTTAGATCCCAACTTCTTGCCCTGCATCAGCTCAGGAGGTTGTGGCTACAATATACATAAGAAAAGGAAGGCAGCCAGGCACGGTGCACACCTTTAGTCCTAGTAGAGGAGGCGGAGCCAGGCGGATTTCGGTGAGTTCAAGGCCAGCCTGGGCTACAGAGTGAGATCCAGGATAGGCACCAAAACAACACAGAGAAACCCTGTCTCGAAAAACAAAATAACAAAAAAAGCAGTACTTTTTTTTCTTTCATTTTTGTTTTTTGTTGTTGTTGTTGTTGTTGTTGTGGTTTGGGTTTTATTTATTATTATTATTATTATTTTGAGACAGGGTTTCTCTGTGTAGCCCTGGCTGGCCTGGAACTCACTCTGTAGACCAGGCTGGCCTTGAAATCACAGAAATCCGTCTGCCTGCCTTTGCTTTCTGAGTGCTGGGACTAAGGTGTGTACTACCACCACCCAGCTACCAGTACTCTTAATATGGGTAGACTTATTTGTCCTTCTGATGAAAGGAATATGCAGGGTTTTGTTTTAAAGAGCTCATGTGTGTGAAAGCTACTTCCCTCTGTATGTGATGTTCAACAATGGTGATTTCCCCCTTGATTACAGCTCTAGAAATCGCAAAAAAGCCAAGAAAAATTGTTGACTCAAAGAACGTTCCTGAAATTATGAAAAACGCTCAGAAAAGCAAGGGTAAGACACCATCCCATTTCTCTGAAGAACTTTTGTAGTTGCATCAATATGGTCTGTGTTGCTTTTTTTTTTTTAATCTTAGTGAATTTTCATATTTTTTTTACTCTGAAAATTCATTCAACAGAATGTAATTTTAAACATCCCATCTACTTTAAAGTGTCTATATTTATCAGCATCAATATCAGATGCAAAAAAGTCCTCTGTGCATCTGACATGGTGATAATCAACAGGGGCCACCTAAAAACAATGATTGGTCTGAGTTAGCCAATGTCTCATGGAAGATGTGGCTTTGGCACATTCTATGCAATAAGGCTTTTAGAGTTTGGAAGGTGAGTGGCTTGTTACTTTTGAATGACCCATTCTCCCGAGATAAGCAGTACACTTTCTAATCAAAGTGAAACAGGCTCAGGTTTTTGTTTGTTTTCTTAAGTCAAGAATGCTACAAAATGTTGTCACTGGTGGGAATGTCATAGAATTCCTAGTGATCATCAGCCTGTGGTTAAATGAGAACTCAGTAAAATACGGCAGCCTTTGTATACAAATACAGCTTTTGCTTTCAACAAAACTAGGTCATGATCTAAAAAGAGAGATTTGTACTAAATGTGACTTTTGTTTCATTTAGGGCACTCCACTTCGGAGAAAGTTCAGCTGGAGGTAAGCAGTTGATAAAACAGGGAACACCAAGCAAGACGAGATGAACAGTAGCTTTTCCTCTCTTAGTTTCAATGAGCATTGTAGTTGAAGGGCATTTATCGGTTATATACCAGACTAGGAAGAATCTGACTCACTGAGTTCATCTCACTTGGAATAAAACTGCAAAGTTAGCCCAGGTTTCCTTGTCCGTAGCTGCTGTGTGTTCTTTCTGCTGTGACACAGCTATCCTGGGTATTTTAACTTAGTAGAACTGGTCTAAGAATTTTATGAGTTGCGTTTTGTGTTTATATATAATGTGCTCTTATTTCTTGGAGAATTGGTCCATTATTTTATACTTTTATAATGTATATTTGAAATCTCGGTTGGCTTATTCACTCCAGGATAGCTGAAAGGAATCCACAGTTTTTATCTCCTTTGTGTTTTAGTGATTTTTCTTTCTTTTTTTGTTTTTTTGGTTTTTTTTGTTTTTTGTTTTTGTTTTTGTTTTTGTTTTTGTTTTTTCAAGACAGAGTTTCTGTGTAGCTCTGCATGTCCTGGAACTCACCCTGTAGATCAGGCTGGCTTCAAACTCAGGGATCCACCTGCCTCTGCCACCACTGCTTGACATTTTGTGTTTTTCACTATGCCTTGTCAAGTGATGGTACCTCGGTGTGGGTAAGCCTCAGTGGCACGTGTATCCAGCCTGTAATGACTATAGAATTAGACATGCCTGGGCTTAGGTAAAAGGACTCATTCAGTAAGAAGTGAATACAAAGCCGGGTGGTGGCGCACGCCTTTAATCCCAGCACTCAAGAGTTAGAGGCAGGCAGATCTCTGTGAGTTCGAGGCCAGCCTGGGCTACAAAGCAAGTTCCAGGAAAGGCGCAAAGCTACACAAAGAAACCCTGTCTTGAAAAACCAAAAAGAAAAAGAAGTGAATACAGATGTTCAAGACCAGGGTTATGGCCTGGACATCACAGCCCTATGTAGGCAAATGGTTAGATGTGCCAGAGCCACCATTGACTTTAATAATGCTTTTCTCATTGTGTTACATCATTATGAAAGAAAAAATTGGGCCAGCGAGATGGCTCTTCAGGTGAAGGCGCCTTATACCAAGCCTGATTGATGACCTGATTCTGTCTCAGAACTACACGATCAGAGGAGAGACGCAACCCCCGGGCTGTCTCTGACCTTCACATACACACAGAGACACACACTCCTGCCTGTCCACCCCTCAGTAAATAACTAATGTGGTGTTTCTTTCGTTTTCAAAAAAGAAAAAACAAAACTTTTTTACAGCCAGGCAGTGGTGGCACGCACCTTTAATCCCAGCACTTGGGAGGTAGAGGCAGGTGGATCTCTGTGAGTTCGAGGCCAGCCTGGGCTACCAAGTGAGTTCCAGGAAAGGCGCAAAGCTACATAGAGAAACCCTGTCTCGAAAAACCAAAAAAAAAAAAGGAATGGTTTATGTCAGCAGACTAGGAAAACTGATTTGTAGCAATTTCCTATAACAGTATTTTGAGGGGTGTGTTAGAATTTTTCAAACTTATTTTGAAATGGGTGTTAAAAGTTCTCAGACTTGATAATTTAGCCATATAGATGTAGATTATTTCAATTCTCAGTCTTAAAATAACTTTAGTAGGATATACCTGTACTTTAAAAAAATGAAATAAGACTTAAAAGCACTTAATTGTTCCTACTAAAGACCCAAGTTTGGTTCCCAGCACCCACAAGGTGGATAACAATTGCTCGTAACTCCAGTTCCCGGGGTATCTGTCTGATGACTTCTGACTTCTTCAGTCTCCTGCACATACATACATGTATGGTACACATACATACATACACATACATACATAAAATAAATACATACGTTTTTATAAGTATAGTAGAAAAGAAGGAGCACCTGATATTACCAGAAACTTTGGAGTGTCCTGTGTTGGGCGCCATGTTCCCGCTAGCACTCAGGGTGAATTCCTATCTAAGACAGAACTTGTGTTTCTTTTTATTTCAGCAGATTCATTGGTTATTGTCTCATAGTGCTAGGAACTACTGAGTTACCTAGTGCAGCGTATTTTTCTTCTTTAGTATTTTTACTTCTGGGATTGATTATATTATATTATTACTTACTGTATTTTTTAATTTTTAAACAGAACAATAACAAAACTGAATTTCTGTCAACACCACCTCGTAGTCTAAGAAAAAGAATAATTGGTATGTATTTCTTTTTATGTGAAGTTTTGTTTGTTTGTTTTTAAAGATTTATTTATTTATTATGTATACAGAAGAGGGCACCAGATCTCATTACAGATAGTTGTGAGCCACCATGTGGTTGCTGGGAATTGAACTCAGGACCTCTGGAAGAGCAGTCGGTGCTCTTAACCTCTGAGCCATCTCTCCAGCCCCCTGTTTGTTTGGTTTTTGAGACAAGATCTCATGTAGCCCAGGCTAGCTTCATACTCACTATATAGACTTGGCTGGCCTTGAACTCCTCATCATCCAACCTCTACCTGTAATCTCAAAACGTTGAGATTACAGGCACGCCTAACAACATGAAGTTTTTTATAAAAATTAACTACATCAGAGTCAATGGTGGTAAAGTATACAAATTTTCTACATCAACTGCTTGGTCTCTCAGTCTTTGGATGACTACTTACTGGTTCTTCTCTTTGTCTTCAACTTCATTTATATACTAGGTGTAATGTCGGTACTGGCCTTAGAATGGTTTTGAGGACTAGTTGAAATAAGGGACATCAGACATACTCAGAGTGGTATTTCACTTTGGTCCAGCGTAATCAGGGTTAGTGGCCACCTGTTATTATAACATTTCCTACTGTCCTTCCTACTGCTTTTCATAAGAAAGGATACTCATGTTGCTAGACTGTAAGACTGTGTCTACACCTACAAAGTGACATGGTTTTTTTTCCCCTCTTTGACATGCATCTGTGTTATATACCAACTCTACACGATCTTAGGGAGTCCTGTCATTCACAGTAAACAACTGATTTGGTTAAAGTTATTTCACCAACATCTAGGGAATTAAACATCTTTTTTTTTTTTTAAGATTTAATTATGTTTCTGTCTGTGAGGTATATGCATTTGAATGCAAGTGCCTACAGAGTTCAGAAATGTAAGGAGTTGTAACAACAGACAGTTGTAAGCCACCTGATGTGGGTGCTGGGAATCGAACTCAGATCCTCCAGAAGAGCAGTGTGTGCTCTTAACTACTGAGTCATCTCTGCAGCCCCTAAACATAATTCTAAATTTACTGTGGAATGTAAAGCTAGTGATACCTTTCCTTGGGAAGTATAAAATGAGCTCTTGTTTCTGGGAGGGTGGTAGGAGTGATAGGGGTTTGTAAAAGGGTAGAATTTGTGAATCAGCTGTGGGGTGGAGCAGTGTGTGTGATAAACATCTCTACACTAATAATTGAAGACCTCACAGCATAAAGTATCTACAGTTACAAGTTCCATGGTTGATGCAGCAGCGCAGCAGTTTCATTAGTTAATGGCCTTGCTTCTTTCGGTCTCCACTTTGCCACTGCGTTTTTTCATCTTCGGCTTGACGGTTCATGTTCAGAATAGTCTCCGTGGCGTAAGTGGGAGGTGTTCTTTCTCCCTGTGCGAGGGAGTCCTTCTTAGAAGCCTCAGTCAACTTCCCCAGTCTGTGTCCAAGTGGTACACAGCCAACGGAGGTGCAAGGCCGGGAAGGAGAGCAAGTTTTTGGCAGAGGGGAACGATGGTGATCACGGCTTCTTACTATATAGTGGGGCACGTGACCACACTGTCCAGGAAATGGAGTTCTGTTAGCAAGAGAAAAGATTGAGTATAACTGACATTATTAGTTGCTTTAGATGTATTTCAGGTGCTGGAGCGATGGTTCACCAGATAAAGCACTTGCTTTATAAGCATGAGAATTAGAGTTCTAATCCCAGAACCCATAGAGAAGCAGGTGGCCTGGGAACCCATCTATTATTCCAGCATGGGTAGCTAAGACAGAATCCCCTGAGCAAGCTGCAAGCCCTGGGCTCAGCAGGAGAGCCTGCCCAGTATATAAGGTGAGGGAGTAATCAAGACTCTTAGAACAACTGCAGGCCTCCATGATACATTCATAGACGGGCACCTACACCAATACTTACCACCCCCACGCATACACACAGGAGTATTCATTACATGCACACAAATAGTTCCTTCCAATATAATTTTCCGGTAGGTTAGTTAGGCATGTTTACCCTCATCTGATAAATGGAGAAAGTAGTGCTTAGAGAATTTATATAATTAGCTGTGAAATCATGAGCAAGTAATGACAAAACTGTAATTTAAAATATCTTATTTTCGGGACCAGAGAGATGTCTCAGTGGTTAAGAGCTCTGACTGCTCTTCCAGAGGACCTGGGTTCAAATGCCAGCACCCACACAGCAGCTCACAACTGTCTGTAACTCCAGTTCCAGGGGACTGGACACCTATGGCAAAGCACCAATGCACATAAAATAAAAATAAATAAATTAAGAAAAAAATCTTACTTCAAAGCCCGAATTCTTGATTCTCCTCAAATAGCTTTTCTTCGATCCATCAAGTTTCCGATTGCTTTTATTCTTCTCCAGTGCCAACGTCTCATTGCGACAGTGAAAGTGAATATTCTGCTTCCGACTCAGAGGATGAGGAAGAGGAGGACACTAATGAGCTTGGGCTCTCTCAGAAGAGTCGGGTGCAGAGTAGAGGATTTGCAGCACCTGTTTCCAAAGGGACCCCAGCTAAGAAAATGAAAAGAGACAAAACAGTGAGTGAGGGAGCCCTGGGCCTTAGGGGAACTGTCTGCGATGTCTTCCGGTGGGCAGCCTGAGCCCTGGGCCTTAGGGGAACTGTCTGCGATGTCTTCCGGTGG